TTCCTCTGCCCATATGCCAAGAAGCCTCGCGAACAGATAGCTCGAGAGAGGGAAAGCAAACTGCTATTGGTTCAGTAGCCACACAGAAGGACTTCGTCTTACTAGTCACCAGAGAAATGTAAGTTAAAGCACCGTCAGAGTTCATACAGTCCCCCCACAAGTGCTGCTGCTGTGTGTGTGACGATCGTGAGCCAGATGCTTTCGGGCTCCCCCAGTGGAGTCCGGGGTTCCCCGCACAGGCCTTGGCGGCACCTGCGTGAAGGGCCCAGAGTAGTCACAGCCTTTGCCTCGGGTTTTCCAGTTCTTGGAATGGTTTCCAAGGAAGTAATCCTGAATGAGAAAGGGCTCCACACAGATGCTCAGAATGAGGGCAGCAGGAGGTTCAGGGCGCAGGAGCTCAGGTCGTTGCAGGATGCACGATTAAGCAGGCGGGAGAGTCAGTGACACCGGATAATATGCGTCTGATAGCGATTGAAGGACATCACATTGGAAATGCAGAAAGAACAACTATGTTTAAATACGATGCACCAGGACAAATTCTAAAATTATGCCAAACGTTAACAGCGGCCCTCGGCTTCTGCGTGCCGGGCCTGCAGGCATTTCTGCCTCACCTTGCCGCTACGCTGGGTTTCGGGTACCTCGTTAAGTTTGCTCAATGAATACATATTACTTTACAATCAGAACGTGAAAATGCTTCGGCGAAGATTTTAAAGACGCCACTAAGGCTGGAGCAGGAAGCTTGTTCGGTGTATCGAGTCCCGGCCTGGCCCACAGGGCGTGGGGGGCAGCACCCCTGTCCTTCCTCTCACCATGCTAGTCAGTTGCGCAGCAGGGCGGGGTTCCAGTCTTCCAGAAGAGCGTAGTCTAAGGGACAGGGAGTTGTACTTGTGAGCGCTGGCGGGTGGGCGGCTGGTGCCGAGGAGGGTGGTGCCGGAGCCTTTTCCCGTCCTCTGGTCTGGCAGGATTACAGCAGCGGAGCCATGCTCACCGGCGAGCTCAAGAAGGCGCTCATAGAGGTGCTGCAGCCCTTGATTGCAGAGCACCAGGCCCGGCGCAAGGAGGTCACGGACGAGATCGTGAAGGAGTTCATGACGCCCCGGAAGCTGTCCTACGACTTCCAGTGACACTCGTCTTGTGTCTGCACGTGAAGAGACATGACTTACCAGTAACCCCAGCCTAATCGAATCACCGCTGCACGCAGGCCCTGTCCCGCGGTGTCACTGGGCCCGGTGTCTGCAAGCCCCGTGCCTCTTTCTTCCTGTAACGTCATCCCTTCTGTGTCTTGTGGGCGAAACGCTGTCAGCTGACTGGGTGCTGGCTGACAGCGTGGTCAGACAGGAAAGTCCCGCCGGAGTCTGTCCCACAAAGCAGCCCCAGGATGTGGCGCCTTTGGCGCAGTGTCCCCCGGGCGGCCTGTTCTGGCCACAGCAGGACAGCATCAGAAAGCATCCCACGGTTCCAAACATGCTCTTCAGACCTGTTCGTCAGAGAACCTGTACTCTCCACGTGCATATGCAGAATCCAAACGCCATTATTATAAAACTCAAAAGTGCTTTGGGAAGTTGAGGTGGGAAAGTTTAATGGGCACAAGATGCATTTCAGCCCGTGCCCCCCAAAAAAGATTTGCTAGGCAGAAGCTGTGCTGTGCCCTTGACTGAGCTCTCCCAACTTGAAAGCTGCTTCTAACCCTGAATATTGGCCAGAGTTGGCTACTCCTATTAAATTGAGTCTTTTGTGGAAGAAACTTTCCAGTTTACTTACTTAAACTCCAGGCCACACTTGGATTCTCCTCCAGAAATCACACTCTTTTCCCTGAACATTCTAATGTTTTGTTTCCACCAATAACCCTGACACTGCGTCCTGAAAACCAGGGGCCGCTTCACTCCGCTTCTGCCAGACGTGTGAGGAGGCAGCTGCCTTTGCAGATACTCTTGTCTGACACTTGACTGGTGTGGAAGTTTCCGTGGGGCAGTGCCCTGGGCGGTGGCCGTGGCCATGGCCCCGGGCGGGTGGACGTAGTCCCAGGCAGTGACCATGGCCCCAGGTGGGTGGATGTGGCCCCAGGCAGATGGACATGGCTAGCAAGTGCACATCAGCCCCCTGGGCCGTCAGCCATGTGTCCATGGCAGCCCTGGACCATGTGCCCTGTGTAGTCCAGGGAAGCGGAAGGACCACCAGGGAAGGCCCTGGGCTGAGCATCTGTCCTTTCTGGAGGCACAGTGTCCACTCCCGAGTGCTCTGCCCTCATGTTGCTCGTTGGCGTAAATAAAACTCCTTTGGCCCCACCATGTGGCTGTGTTTCTGGGGTCTGAGGAGGCGCAGAGGCCCCACTTCAGGCCCAGGGCCATGCTGCGCCTGCTGCCGAGACCTGCAGCCCCTCCGTGGGTGGCACTTGAGTCCACTGGGGTCGTAGAGGGACGTAGGTGAGATGGAGCATGGCCCTGGAAGCGCAGTGGCCCTGAGAGATGGGCTCCCAGCAGCCGGCCGGGAGGAGCCCTTGCCCGCCTGGCACTTTGTGGTCTCCCTGGCGCCGGCCCTCACGCCTCATCTCGTGTTTCCAGCAACCCAGTGGGGACCGCACACGGGCGCTCTCGCCTCGTGGACGTGGGAGCCAGCCGTGGGTGGTCAGAGGCAGTGGGCGCGTGGGCGGGAGCCAGGCCACAAGCTCAGACCCAGGGCAGAGGCCCAGACGGAATGGCGCCCACGGCCTCACTCTGCTCACCCATAAACTGAGGCTTAGGAGAAGGGAAGGTGGCTGCTCACACGGCGAGTTTCTGACAGAGCGGGCCTGTCCCGGCCTTTGTGTTGCTGTCCCCACGCACACAGAGGGACCACGTTTCACGCGAGGCACGGGGGGTTCCCTGCTGGGAGGCGCTCAGGGGTGCGGCACGGCCTTGTCCGTGTTGCAGCTCCTGGCTTCGGTTCCTGCTGGCTCAGCCCCCAGCCCCCGCCACCTGGCTGGCTGCAGCCCGTGGAGGGGAGCCGCCCACAGAGGACGGTACAGCTCTGTGGCCCTGGGCAACTGATGTGACTTCTTGCTCCTTGGCGCCCACATCCCAGGCACAAGTGTGCAGAGGAAATGTGTGACGTCCCCAGAGCAGCGTTCACCAGCCAGAGGGGAAATCATCGGGGCGCAAAAAAGGGGGGGCTGTGGCAGCTATGTGACCTTGGGTGGGTCACTTAACCTCTCGGGGCCCCCTCCCCTGTAAAACGAGACTCATTTGGGGTCTTGGGAGCAGTGCCCTGGGTCAGAGGGCAGGTGACTCATCCAGGGTCACTGCTGGTTAAGGCTCAGGCTCAAAATCAGTGGCCTTTAAAGTTCCCAAGAGATGCCAGGACCAGGGAAGACAGGTGAGGCCAGCCAGCGGGTGTCAGGTGAGGAGGTGGTCGAGTCCTAGCCCCCGGAGTCCACTTGTCAGACCCTGCTGCACCTCACCCCCAGTCTAGTGGGGAGACCTATGTCTGAAGGACAAAGCACATGACACTGCATGGCAGTGGGGAACCGGGTAGACGGACCAGTGGCCGAGCCGCCCGAAGGAGCAAGCGTCCAGGACATCACTTCAGCAGCATCAGACAGACCAACTCGGACTCACAGAGCTATGTGTGCCAGTCCGCCCCAGTGGCCAGCACCCAACTGTGGGAACCTCTGGGTGACTACCCTTCATCTCCCATTCCAGATTTCAAGTGTAGCCTGGACTTTGAAGGCAGCCCATTTAGTGGGAAGACCCAGCTCCCACCAGACTGTGATTCTGGACCCTTCCTTCCCCTCCCCCTCCCCTCATACCCCCGCCCTTCCTTCCCTTCAGCGCCCTGTTTCTGAAGAGCGGCTGGGTCTGCATCCAAAGGGCCTTGCCACCTAGAGGTGGTAGAGAACAAGGACCTTCCCTCAAAGCTACTTCCCAACACGGACCAGCCAGCTGCTCGGTGACCACTGGTCCCCACCCTCCCTGAGCAGGACCGCTGCCAGTAACTCTGCTTCTGAGGCTGGAGCCAGTGGGCGCTCTAGAGGTCTTGCCAGAAGTAGACACACGGGGTCTGAGTTTCAATGAACTTGAAAACTTGTGTTAGCTGGCACCCTCTTCCCAGCACCTGGCCAGAGCGTCTTAGCCTCTTTGAGCTGGATGAACTTCCAGGAACTATTACAGGACTTCATTTATTCACTCATCCATCCATTCATTCATTCATTCCACACGCCCTGAACACCTGCTGTGTGCCAGGCCCTGAGCTGGATATATTGTAAATCACACATGCGCTGCCTTGAACAGCTCACGGTCTCGGGGGTTGCTGGTCCAGGGGTGACCAGAACACTGGAGGTTCTCGTAACCAGAGACAGGCCGAGGCCAGTGTCTGTGAGGGAGTGAGTGCAGTCATAGGCTCTGGCTGGCCGTACCGGTGAGCTGCTGCCGTGCGGACCCAACAGTTTGTGCTGTGCCTGCCAGCCCTGGCCCCCGATGGCCTTGTCACCAGAAGGTACATGGTGCCTGGGAGAGGGCTGGGCCTCGGAGCGCAGGCTGCAGCTTCCTCACCCTCCCTGCTGTGTGGTTCTGAGCAGGCCCAGCTCCCTCTGTGCGGTTTCCTCCCCTGGCCTCAGGCTATTACGGTAACCTGTGTGATGTGCCTGGCACTGACCCTCCTCCAGGACCCCATGGGCTGGGGGCTCACGGCCTGGCATCCGGATAATGGCAGGGCCAGGAAGCTGGAACCCACTTTGGCTCAGAAAGGGTGGATTTGGGCTGAGAGTGGCCAGGACAGGCATCCTGCTGGCTGCTGAAGCCCCCCGCAGATGGACTCGGCAGGCCAGGCCCCCCAGCCCCAAGGGCCAAAGGCGTGGATCCAGCCAGTGTGCCGTCTGGGCCTCGGGGTGCCCACCGGCACAGCGGGAGTGCTGGTCTCACAGGTTTGGAGGGGTTGGCCTCAGGATGAGCCAGAGGCAGGGACACTGGTCGCCAGCCCCACAACCACAGAGCAGCACCACCGAACAGCCTCAGAAATGTTTAATTGGCACAGTCCCCCGCCGAGTCTGCAGGCAGCGAGGGCGCGGGACCCGCCCGCACACCAGCCCACCGAGCCCGTCTGCAGCCTGGCGCCAGAGCGAGAGGGCCTGGAACCAGACAGCTGACCTCGGTCCCGCCCGGTGGGGACCAGCAGAGCTGCGTCTGAGGGACAATGCATGAAGATGCACTGAAGGGCAGTGAGGAGCCGAGTGGGGATGTGGGGCAGGTGGCCAAGCGGACCGCTGAGTAAATGGACGGTGGTTGGGACACAGGGGTGCTCTCAAGACACGGGGAGAAGTGACCGGGAAGCTGGTGAACAACTGAGCACATGCACCAACGACTCAGTGTGACAGATGTCCTCATCCGAGAGGCTGCTCCTGCTTGGCCTGGGTGTCCCTCGGGCCAACCCGGGCTGGTAACAGATAGGCCTCTTGACCTTCTCTGGTCTGCAGCTGGGCAGGCCAAGCCCAGGCCCTGGCTGACTGGCCGTGGGGTGGCTCCCGGTGGGGACCCTCCCTTTTGCCTCCTCCAGCTACTACAACCTCTGGAGGCGGCTGGTGGGTGAGCCCGTGGGGCGTGGGACCAGCTACTTGAGCAGGGCCCTGGTGAGCCTCAGCACGGCCTCGTAGGTGACGAAGACCACCATGTTGACGGGGAAGGCGCGGCAGCAGTTGAGTGCCAGCCCCTTAAACAGGACCCTCAGCCCCTCCTCGCGAACACTGGCCACCACGCAGTGCAGGAGGCCCCGGTAGAGCTGCCGGCCCTGCCCGTCCGCCTGCAGGCGCGACTTGATCACGTCCATGGGAGTGGCCACGGCCCAGGCCAAGACCCCCGCACAGCCTCCAGCCATCAGGACACCTGAGACATCTGCAGAGAGAGACCCGTGAGTGCCTGGACCGAGAGCAGGTTGGGGCCCCAGAGGAGAGCGAGTGGGGCCCCCAGGGCAGGGCCCAGCCCTAAGGGAGGCCTGGGCTCACTCGTCCAAGGCCACACGGGGCCATGTGTCCTAACCCTCAGTGTCAAGGGCACTTCGGTTCCCACCCCGGGAGTGCTCGGGCAGCACCGTCTGGCCTGACTCATCCACGACTCCTTCTCCCAGCCCCGGTCCCTGCTGGCTGGGCTGCCCCAATTCCCTACCCCCTCCTCACCTGGCTGGCTCTGGCCAGTGGGGGCGAACCACTCGCAGAGGATGGAGTAGGAGAGGAAGTAGGTGGCAAAGGAGTGGCTGTCCCTTAAAAGCAGGGCCGAGCTGCCCTTGTAGAGGCCTCGCAGTCCCTCCTCTCGGGTCACAGTGGCCAGGCAGTGCAGCGGCCCGCGGTACTTGGGCCCAACCCCCAGCGTCACAGGAAGCGCAGGGCACTGGGTGGGCACGGCCACGGGCCACGAGGCCGAGGACCGCCAGCACTGTGTCTGCGCCTGCGTCTGCATCTGCGACTGCGTCTGCAGGCGGACCTTGGCCACCTCCGTGGGCGAGGTCAGGATCACCTGGAGCAGAGATGAGAGGGTCAGCGAGGCGCCAGCACGGCCCGCACACCCTGGACCTGGCCTTCTGCAAGCCTCCTGTTCCCCACAGTGACATCGGGGAGCCTGGGCCCCAAGAAGCGTCAGGCTGGCCCACAGCCATGGTGGTGTGGGACTCCAGCCAGCTCTGCCCACCAAAGCGAAAGCCAGCGGTTCCTTGAGCAGCCCTCGCTCCCGGCACAGAGCGGGTGTTAGGTAGATGCCTGCGACTCCAGGCATGAAAGTATTTAATCGCCTCATTAATACGTTAATGACACATTAATGCGTCATTTATTAATGTAGGTATTTGATGTAAGAATAATGAAGCACCTAACGCTGACACTTAATAACGTCAACGTGTGACATATGACAGCATCACTAATGATGTTGGCTGCCGTTCCCGGGTGCGCGTCCCCGTCACGCTCCGTGCTGCGGCTTGATCCTCGTGACCTCACCCGACCTTCACCACCTCCCCTCTGACTGGTGCAGAGACAGACGCTCAGGGGGCCCCTTCGCACGTTCGAGGTCCCTCGGCTAACGAGAGTCGCTGAGCCCTCACGCACAGGGCCCCGGCCTCCGTCCGGTCCCTGCCCTCACCGAGCCTCAGTCCCGCCATCTCTGGGCTCGCGACCTCTCAGGCCCTCCAGCCCCCCCCCCGACACCCCCGTGGTGTCACTCACACGGACAAGGCCCGAGACGAATCCCGAGAGCGTGATGTCAGTCCTGGCGGGCTTGGCATCGGCACTGCCGTACCGGAACTGGCAGATGTGCGCGAGGCAGTGGTGGTAGGTGCCGAAAGACACGGACGACACCAGGGACACCGTGCACACGGGCAGCGAGAGGCCCCTGTAGAAGCCCCATACCTGGCGGGTCGGTGGACAGGACCCGAGGGCCCGAGTCAGGTCAGAGGCCTAGCCAGGAGGGTGGCCCTGGTCTCCTCCCCGAGGGCCTCCCTGGCTGCGGGACAGGATGTCAGCTGAGTCGCTCATAGCCTAGGGCCTCATTTTCCTGGGCTGTGACATAATGGGGATCACGGCACTCGAGGGGTTGTGGTGCCAGACTAAAGAGACGGGCCAGCTCGCCCCGGGCCGCCCTCTGATGACAGGACGGTGAACTGGCATGCTCATCCCTGGCCAGCACTGAGTCTCAAGTTCACTTTGGTTAATGTCCCTGAGTCCCTTCTCTGGCCAGGTCTCTGAGCTAGACCCTGGGGACCCTGACGACTCCACCCAGCACTGCTGCCGCCCGGCCTGGAGGGGACAGAAATGCACACACACAGTCGCTCTCTGACCTGGAAAGGCCCCAGATGCCCCCAGACCCTCTCTGAGAGGCAGGACCTCTGTCTGAGCACCTCCTGTGTATGGGACCCCCCAGCTCTGGATGTCAGAGGAATCGAGGAGGTTGGAACAATGATTCCGTTTAGAAGGGGGGAGAACCGAGGCTCAGCGAGGCGCTCGGCACCGCATGGCTGGCCTGGCTGGTCAGTGAGGGGCAAGCCTGGGGCCGAGGCCTCGACAGTCCCCGCCCACCAACCCGGCCGGCCTACTCGCTCTCGGCGGTACGTGTCCCGGACGCAGTTCCAGATGCCGGTGTAGTTGGGCTCCGTCTGGATCCTGACCTGTGGGAGATGCAGGCTTCAGGAAGCGGCGGCTCCAGGCCTAGGGCAAGGTCAGCAGGCCCCAGGGAGGGGAAGAGCCAATCCCTTGACAGTCTCCACCGTGCTGACTGTGGGGAGCTGGGATAGTGAACACCATTTAAGGGGAGACACTGAAGGCCCCAGGCTGAGAAAGAGGGTGACAGACTGGAGGACCCTGGGGAGAGCTGAGTCTGATTAGCATGCTAGAAAGGTCTTCGGGCTGTGGTCGGGGGTGCGGAAGACTGGACGGGGGCTTTGGGGTGGGAGGCGGTTTGTGTCCAACGGGTAGCCCACAGCAACGCCACAGACGCCTGGAAGGGAACCAGAGGGACCAGTCGGGCAGCGGGAGCAGCCGGGGAGGGCGAGCCTGACCCCACTGCCGCTGAGAGCAGACCCTCCCCGGCTCTTCTCGTCCACGCCATGTCTTGTCAACCTCTGTTTCGTGGATGAGGAAACAGGCTCAGAAAGAGAAAGTGAGCCCCGGCAGGCTGCTAGCGAGCCTCCTCCCCTGCGTCTCGGCCCACGGGTGCCTCGTTCTGAAGGCCATGGCAGGTCCTCGGCCTGCCCTCCAGTCATGTTTTAGAACTTCTGGTGTGACACTTGCTGGGCCCTGTCCCCAGGCCAGGCAGGGCTCCCCACTCAAGCCTTAGGCTGTGAAGTGTTTGTCCAGGGGTTGGGGTGCACGGACCAAGCCAAGGCTGGGAGGTGGGAGAGCCCAGTCACCCCAGGGCTCTGGGAAGGACTTCCTGCAACCCCAAGTTTCCATGGGACAGAGTGGGATGCAAAGCTTCCTGGACCAGGGCCCTCTGCCCCCTGCAAAGGGGCCCTGTGCCGCCGTCCTGTGCCTGTCCCCTTTCCTGACACCAGGGCCATGACATCCGAGCTCCAGCAGGCCACTAGGAAGCCAGGGGGTGAACAGGCGGGGGTTCACGCCCTGGGGTTTGAGGGCTGGGGCCCACCGAGGACCACAAGGCATGTGAGGGCTGGGCCCGATTGACTCTGTATCCCAGGACTGAATACATACGCATGAGTGAGAAAAAGTAAACAAATGAACGAATGAATGAACAAGAAAGGGAAGCAGAAGGCTGCCTGACTCTGGCAGGATTACCTCCCCTGACCCTCACGCACCCCTCATCGAACCCCCACGCAGCCACCAACGCCCTGCCGCAGCGCGGCCCCCTCTCCGGAGCCCCCGCACCCCGTACCCTGGGCTCCCTCCATGCTCCATGCCAGGAAGCACGTGGATTAGAGCCCCTGGCATGTGGCTTTGCTACTGTCTCACAGGTGCCGTCTCCTGCTCCAGAACTAGAGCTCCTCCGGGACAAGGCCCACACCCGGTCCCCACAACCCAGGGCCTGTCCCACCCAGCCCTGCCATGGGCTCCGGATGGAACACGCGGGCCGGGCTTCGGGAGCCCTCCTGGCTCTGTGGTCTTGGGCGAGTGAAGCCCCTTCTCTGAGCCTCTTCCTTAGGGGGCTAACGTCCAGGGCAGCAGCTGGCCTCAGGCCCGGGCATAGAAGGACCTCAGAAAGCCCCCGGTGAGCCCAGGGCCCTGGTATTTTCCAGCTCAGCGCTGCCCGCCCCCTCCTGAGATCACCCAGGCTGTCTCCAGAAGTATCGACCAGGAGCCCACTGCTGTTCACGTGATAAGCAAGGCCAAGGGTGCCTCGCCCAAACTAGCCGCCACCTGCAGGGTGGGTGGCGGGGAGGAGCTGCATTCCTGTTCTGCACCTGTTTCCCACGGGGCCAGAGAGCTATCTGGATCCGGCTCTGCTACGAGCCCTCTTCTCAGAAGTGAAGAGTCCCCGGGCCTAGCCAGGCCAGGACGGCGCCCGCCTCTGGGGGCGGGGCTGCAGCTCACCGGGCCCTCCCCACCTCTGCCCGCCACTTCCCTTCCGGTCAGTGTCGTCTGCCCTCACTGTCCACCCTCTCCTGGAGCCCCTCATCCCTTCCCGCGGCTCAGCCATCCCTCTCCATGCCGATCACTCCCAGCCCTCCACTTGGGCTAAGGAGAGACCACCCTCTGCACCCCCAGTAGTTGCCCTCACCGACCTGCCCTTCAGCCTCCTCAGCCGAGCCCCCCCCCAGCTCTGTGTTGCTGCCCTAGCACTTTTGGCCCACACCAGGATCTGGCCACTTCCAGAGTGACATCTCAAACCGCACATCTGCCGGGAGCTACCTCCCAAGCCAGAGCGCCCCTCAGCTGCTCCTTGTAGCCTCGGAGAACAGCAGATCTCTGCAAGGCCCACTGTCCCTGTTACCTCCGATGGCTCCGGCAACAAAATCCATGGATGGTGTGGGTAGCGGGGAAGACCCTGGGGTCTCCCTGCTGAGCAGTCTGACACCACCACCGGGGTGGCTGCAACAGGTCCCAGTCAACTCTCCGGCCTTAAATACCTACGGGGAGAGCAGGGGACAGGGAGGAGGAGCCTGCTGACCAGTGGCCCCGAAGGCAGAGGTCATGGTGGGGAGTGGACGGGTCGATGCCTACCTGGCCGCCCTTCCACCCATCCCCCAAGGGCCCTTGTCCCTTGTCCCAGTGCCCTCAGGACCTAGGTGGGGGGGGAAGTATGTGAGAGACAACAGAGGTGTCAGGCTCTGGGTAAGCAGGATGGCTGTCCCCATCGCCTGCGGGCCTGGGCCCCGGCCACAACCACACACCTCCTGAGGAGGCCCAGGGATGGGGCCGTGACATGCCCTTCCCTCCAAGCCCCAGCTCCGGCCTTACCCCTGTCCTTGGGCCTCCCCAACTCCCCTGGAATTGCTCATGTCCAGGGGACCCTCGAGGCTCCCTCACTTATTCATTCAACAAACACTATCTAAGCGGAGGCTGTACTGAGGCACACACAGCCCAGGCCCTACACTCGAGGAGCTCCGGTTGACAGGGAGGGAGCAGACGCCAGAGGCCACAGAGGCCTGTTCTGGGGAGGCTGGCCCGAGCCCCTTTGGGGGTGTCATGACCACCAGTCAGGGGCCCCTGCCTTCCCGACGCCCTTCGCACCTCCCTGCTCCCTTACTGTCCCTGCCACGTCCACATCTGTCTCCCCGGCCCCCGGGGCCCCAGCCAGGTCCGCCTCGATTCTGAGCCCCAGCATGCCACTCTGGAAGTGGCCCGGCACTGATCAGGGACTGCTGAACGGGGACCAAGCCCTGCGAGGCCCACCGCCAGGGCTGCCACTTTGGCCTCTAGCCAAACCAGGACACCCTTGAAGGGGAAGCCATTCCAACCAGAGGCGGCTTCCACCCGCCGGTCACTCGAAATCACTGCAGCCTCACGAGGACACCGAGGCTCGGCGAGGCTGTGCGCTCACCCATGGTGAGTGTCCCCCGGCTAGAAACCTGGCAGGATAAGGCAGAGGGCACACGCTGACAGGGCTCGCGTGTCCTGCTTGGTAGACCTGCAGGCTGGCCTTGAACAGCCTGCGTGCTGATGGACGGACAGCCTCGCCCACACCCACCCAGCAGTCTGTCAGTGGGGTGCGTGGTGGACACAAGTCGCCAGGAGCAGCTGCCACAGCAGAGAGCGAAGGGCAGAATGCCGCCTGCCCAAGGCCAATCTTGATGCCCACTCTGGCTTTTAGAGAGACGCAGCTCACTCTGGTCAGGAGCCAAGCTGCCTGTGTTCCAGTGCCAGCTCGGTCATTCATGCCAGCTCTGACACCTTGGGCAAGCCCCTTGAACTCTCCGTGCCTCCATTTCTGCATCCATGAAATGAGGATAGTACCTGTCTCACACCTGTGTCCGCTCAGGGCAAGCTCCGGGTGTGTCCCTATGCAACTGGCCAGTCTAATGCTAAGGCTACATTAATAGAAGCATAGGTTCTAGAAAGAAGGAGGTGACAGGTGTGTTCTGAGCATAGCAAATACAGTTGGGGCTTGGTTTTAGTTGCAGATGCTGCACTTGAGAGGCTGGTACCCTAGATGACAAGGGAGCTTGAAGCATGTTGTCTAACTGAAAGAACAGGGACCTGTTCAGTCCCATGTTCCCCGCAGGGTGTCTAACGTGGTAAGTGCCCCCCGGCCCCCGGCACCTGAGCCTGAAGCCCAGGAATTGCCCTGGATGCCTTTTCCCCTGCACCTCACATACAGTGAGACACCCAGTCCTGCAGTCGGCCCTCCGAAGTTCATGTTCAGACCCCCTTTCACTACACATCGGCTCAGCTCTCGGCTTCATCACCTACCCGCTGGACAGCAGCTCGCCCACGCTCACGCCCACCCCCATGCAACAAACACTGCATGCCTTCTGCATGCCTTGTTCTGGGCACTGGGCCACAGAAATAAACAAAGACAAATGTCCCTGCCCCTTGGATCTTCTGGGAGGGAGACAGACACACCGACACAGTAAATAAAAACACAGAGTCTGCCAGCTGGCTGCGAGTGCCAAGGAGAGCCATAGAGCAGGACGGGGACGGGAGTGTGGGTGGGGGTCAGTGTCAGAAAAGTCAGCCCAGGAAGGTGACATCTGAGATAAGTGCGTTTTCTCGGTCGCTGCAGCCAAGTTTCACCTGCCCTTTGTCTCCTAAACAAACATGCGCAAACTTTACCCTTCTCCGCAGCAGAAACGGAAAACATGTCACCTCACTGTTTGAGCTGCTTTGTGCAGGTCTAAACGTCTCCCCGCCCAGCTGTGAGCTTCTGGCAGGCGGAATTGTGCCGGATTTGTCTCTGAGCCCTCAGCATCCAGCACAGACAGGCCCCCTGGAGAGGCTGGGTGAATAAATGCATGAGTAAACAAGTCAGTGAAAGGATGGGTGGATGGGTGGATGGGTGGATGGACGGGTGGTGGATGGGTGGTGGGTGGATGGGTGAATGGATGGATGGATGGATGGTGGTGGATGGGTGGATGGGTGGATGGGTGGATGGATAGGTGGTGGATGGGTGGTGGGTGGATGGATGGATGGTAGTTGGGTAGATGATAGATGGACAGACAGATGGATGGACCCAGGGCAGAGTCACCTGCTCACACTTGGCTTGACCTGATAGTAGATGGCAAAGAGGCCGTCAGGTGGCTGGTCAGGCTGGCGTCTTGGCCAGGGAGAGCCTCACGTGGTTTGGGGGGAATGCTCACACTGAGTTTGGCTCCTGGCTCTGCCTCTCCCAGCTGCGTGACCTGGGGTCAGCAACGTGACCTCTCTGAGTCTTACATGGATGGCAGGAGACAGAGCCATGGCCGCTGCGGCCACCCCTCCCAGTGGAAAGGTTGGTATTACTAGCAGCAAGGCCAGCTGTAGGCCTCCTTCGCCAACACCAGAACCCCCGCCACCCCAACCCCACCCAGCCCGAGCAAGGAGGACCAGGGAGGGAGACAGACATCGCACAAACAATCCAAGCCTGGACCAACACCAAGGCTTCGGGAAGGGGGCGCCAGCCCTCCGGGCTTGGGGGCCTTGCTGGCCTAGGCACCATGGAGAAGCGTGACACATCTAAATGCGTTTTTACAGTTTATAAAAAAAAGGAAGAACTATGAGTTATTTTTTAAAACTCCAGACAGAAGAGACACGCCAACACAGGAAGTGGGAGCCCCACGGCCGGGCCTGGGCTGTGGGAGGGACGCAAACTCGGACATTTCTCCTCTCCTGTCTTTTGGTGATTTGTTTCTTTTCTTTATTAGTATGTCTAGGACACCTTGCCACGGTGGTACCTGCAGACCCACTTCCTTCTTGGGCTCGTCCACAGTCCCCGTGGTGTGCCTGCAGGGGACAGAGGCTGAGCCAGGCTGCCCAGGTGTGGCCCTTGCCTGCTGTTTCTCACTCTGTGACCTGGGTGAGCCACTAGCCCGCCTGGGTGTCTGTGTCCTTGCCTGTAAAATGGAAATTCTCTTAGCTACCGCCAACCAGCTTTGGGGGAACTAAAGGGTCAGTAGCTGGAAAGCTCTTGGAGCCTTGCCCGGAGCTCTAAACACGACCACTATGATTCAATTTGACACGACCATAGAGATAGACTTTGGGCTTGTTTCCAGTTTATTACAGAAAGGGCACCAATAAGCACGCTTGGGGACTTCTGTGTTTCAGCAGGGAGATTGCTGGGCCGAAGATACCTGAGCTATTTTTAACTTTCACACACTTTGCCATTCGGGCAGGGTTTGGAGGGCGGAGGAGGGGCAGGAGATCGCCACACGCTGGCAATGGCTCAGGAGGCCAGAGTGGGCGTGGGGGACGGGCTATCTGCAGACATCGGCAGCCATGGCATCTCCAGGAAACAGGGCTTCTTGGCAAGTCCAGACCAGGCCAGGAGCCCCCCAAGGTGCTCATTCTGCTCACCTTGTGCCAAGAGCAAGTCACCGACCCACCGAAGCTCAGTTTCTTCATCTGTGAAACGGGGCAGGAGACAAGAGTCTGTGCACGCCGGGCCTGGTCCTGCCGGGCTCCGCTGGGATCTGCAAAGTGCCCAGCTGCTGCTGCAGACCTCACGGCCCCAGGCATGGCTGAGACTCATCCACCTTTGGGGGCAGTGTCTGGGGTGCGGATGAGCCCCCTAACTTAGTCCTCCCAGATGCCCTGGCCTTCCTCTGCCCTCCTGAGGGGTTAGGACCCTGGGCCTGGGGTCTCCTCCAAGCCTGCTTGGCCCCCAGAAAAGGTCTCAGGGCTGCAAAGCGTGTGGCCGGGTGTTTCCTGCGGCTCCCGTGCCTGTGTGTCCTCCCTGGGAACGGGGCGCGCAGCAGGGCCGCCCCTCAGTTCTGGCTCGTGCTCCTGTCCCTGGAGACACGGATGCCACTGCCTGCCCACGGAGCGCAGACAGGCAGCAGGCCAACGTTCCCACACCTGTGTTACAGCCCTGTCTCAGAAGGGACACACTGTCATGTACACTCCCGAAGGGGGTGGGGACTCACTCGCTGGCAACAGGAGGAGCACATGCCTGAATGGTGTCCCCAGCATGAACAAGGCTGGCAGGGAGGGCTGGATGGGGCTGAAAGGTGGGTCGGGAACGGGAAGGGCCCGGAACGCCCAGGCTGGAGCGTGCAGACACGTCTCAGGGCTGTAGGCACAGCACATCCGGGGAAGCAATGGGCCTGGTGGGGCAGTGGCGGGTGGAGGATGGGAGGCTGGGACAGTTCCAGGGAGCAGGCACTGCCTGAACCTGAAACAGGGAGGTGCACAAGGACGGGAAGCCCCTGAGGGCAGGCCGCCTGGAACCTCGGCTGGCACATAGGAATGCTCAGAGGTGGCTGAGAGAAGCCTGGACAGCAAGGCCCCATGAGAGGGTCACACCTTGGAGGTGAGCCTGGTCCCCAGTTGTGTGGCACAGAGCTGAGGGTCAGCTCTCTGCCCAAGGGGGCGGGGGATGGGTCTGCAGTGGGGACTCCAGAGGGCAGAGCCTAAAGCAGCAGGACAGGTGGCAGAGAGAGGACCATCCTTCTTGTGCAGCTTCTCTTGGAAGATGCTGCCAGACCAGGCACTGGCCCGCGCGCCAGCAAGGTGACCGCTGAGGCCAGGCGAGCATGCTAAAGTCCCTCCTACCTGGAGAGGTTCCAGAACAGAGCAGAGGAAAACTCCACTCCAGGATGCCGAGGGCTCTCAGTCCCCTTCTCGGCCTGCCTGCCATGTCTGTGACAAGCCTATGGGCTCAGCACTTGTCCTCTGCCTTCGCCTGCCCTCTCCTGCCCACCCCTTCCTAGCTATGATGCCAACTCCAACTCACCTGCCAACTCCACCCAGGGCCCAGGTGAGGACACACTGCTGTCCTCTGGCCACTGCCCTTGGGTGCTGCTCACACTGACCATCGGCCTGGAACAGCCTGCTCAGCCAGCCATCCCCCACACGTGGGACAGTGGGAGGCCCTAGAGAGTGCACAGCGAAGCCGGTGGCTCACACCAGGCCCCAGCGCCAGCCCAGGGCTGGCCCAGAGGGAGGCTCCGTGAGGCCCGTGTGCCACGTGGATATCTGACCACATGGCAAGCATGCACTGTGCCCTGGACACTTGGATGAGCTCGTCCAGCCCGGCCCCCCATCCTGGCCAGTTGACCCGACCCAAGCTGGGGACCAGCCCTGTGGCCTTCTAGTCTGTCTGGAACTCCCCCAGGTAGGCCGCCCCCTCACCTCCAGCCTTAGTTCTATTTTTAGACTAAAAGCATTTGCCAAGTGTCTATTTATATCGCTCCCCATCTTGGATTTCTGATCATCTCATCATCTGGCTGAGCCAGGTAACCCGCCTCCGGCCTCTTGGGCCCCTCCGAGCCGAGCGGGTTCAGAATGGCCACGAGCATGCGAGGGGAAGGCCCACAGCGCAGGTGAACAGGGCTACCTAGCCCTGGGGAAATGGAGTCTCCAGCAGATCATAGAAGCAAACAACCCACCCAGCCTGGCTCCAACTTTGGGATTAACTAAATTCAACAGAGAGAAGTGAACGCCTCAAAGTCCACCCAGAAGGAGACCTCTGGGCACGGTCGACTCTAGGGCTGAGCGGCCACCAGGACAGGGACTGACTGTCCCCATGTGGTCACCTGTTCACTGCAGCGTCTTCGGCAGCCAATAGGAGACCTTCTGGGGCTGGGATCTCCCCTTGCCTGTCTAGGCAGTCAAAGGTGCCCTTAAAAAACCCTTCGGACCTCAGCTAGTTACGTTACCTTTGTAAAATTGAGGTAACTTTGGTTTATGACATCATAGAAATTAACTATCATCTTCCGTTTCCCGCAAAGGTGTTGACAGCTGAAGGCGGAGAGCGAGCACCTGGCCTTGGCGTAGCCGGCCCGTAGGCCCTGGGCACTATCTCCTGCACAGCCCATCGCCCCCTGGGCACTGCCCCCTGCACAGCCCACCTCCAGGTCCACCTAGCTGCTCCTTGGCCCACCTGCCCCACTCGCCCTGTGGCACCCTGAGCTCCAGCCTTGCTCCCTACCCCAGGTCCAAACAGCCTCCTCCGCTGAACTCAGCAGATTCTCGGATGGGGAGAACAGGGCAGCATTCTCTTCCTGCTGGTGTTTCTAATGTTTCTACACTGAACCTGTCTTGTGTAAATTATAAAAGCTGTACAAAATTAAAACACCCCCAGTTTTTGACCTGGCTTGACCCCTGGGGCCCCGTGGTACTTGCTGTCCTACTGCCCTGGCCTTGGGCTCCTTCTCCCCTTAAAGGCCAGAGCCTTGCAGGGGGCCATCCCCTGGGAGGGCCAGTGTCTGGGCCCTTGAGAACTAAGGAGTATGAAAAAGCACATTTTGTACTGTAATTTTATCCTCAGGAAATAAAACAGACAGACACAGCACCCACTGCTGATATAAAAATGCAGGCTCTGGGATGTGGACATCGTGAGCTAGTTTACTTGGCACTGACTTTATTTTTCCTTTCTGGTCTCTCTCTAACTGCTAGGGGAGCCCCTGGAGGTCAGGGAGGACTATCTGCCTTGTCCCCACACCTGGCACAAAGCATTGTTCAATCAGTCTGTGCTCTACCCGAGCAAATGGTTCTCGGACAGCAGGAAATGCTCAACTCAATAGAAAACTTTTAAGGAGAAATGTGGCTTTACAGTTAAGTAACCCAACAGTGCACCCAAGTGGTGCCATCTTCTCCTGGTGCCTGCCTTCACCCTTCCTCCCTCCACTGCTCCCTACAGACTGGACCTTTGTCCCCAGACCCAACAAGCCCCAGCCTGAACACTGGCTCCCTCCAAACTCATCTGCCTCTAAGCTCCCCCTGCAGGATGCAGCTAAAGGCCTCACCTCCTTCTTGGTCTGCAGGATCCAAAGCAGCCTCGTCAGATCCCTCACCTGCACCCCTGCAGGGAGCTTTCAGAAGCTTAACTATTGAGTGCATACTGTGCCCCAGGTTGCTGGGGCCCTTCCCAAGGGCCCCTAGGTGGGGCAGAAGTATGATGACCACCTTAGAGAGGCAGCCTCTTAAAACCAGAAGACAAAACAGGCAACTCCATAGAATATGACAGAATTTACTGTAGAGTAATTTACTTATGAAAAGATTAGGTAGAAACAAAACAACGACTCAGCGGCTCTGCACAGATTATTCTCCTCTACCAGGCCCGTCAGGGGGTCAGGGGACTTTTCCTATAGTACGAAGAATGCAGTAGCACCAAGGGCCATACCTCCTGGTGGTCTTGCAATAGACGATTGCGATTGCTTATAGTCAGTACTATCACCAGTGTGGTATTTATCTCGGTTGTCCTGCCATTCCCACTGTTGCTAACAAATATTCAAGGCTACATTTTAAGGAACACAGATAATCAACGAGAAGGCTTTGCTATGCTTGCTAAGGACAGTGAAGTTGGTCAAAGGTCACAGCAGGAAAATTTAAATCTGGGACACAGAGATGGAGTTAGTTTTGTTCACATCTATAACTATACAATGGCTCATGCAACCTGCCCCAAGCATGACATTAACTTAAAGGCACATGCGTTGTCGTCCTTATCAGTTGTTCCATAATAATTTTTTTACTTATTGCTCTGTTAAGGTACTTGGCTTCTCAAACTTCCAAAATCAGGGATGGATGCTGCAGCCTATTGTACTTTACCTCCTGTGGTCTGGGCAACCCAGGGACATCCCCTCCTAGGGCTGGGTCACCTGGATGTAGGTTGTCCTGTGTGATCGCCATGGTCTCAGAGGTCTCCATCCACCGAAGCATCCCCATGGTCAACTCCTGCCCAGCTTGGGGTCCGGGCTTCTCTACATGCTCATGGGGCCCCTCTTCCACCCTCCGCTGCCCCTCTGCTTCCTTGAGGAATGGCGCTGAATCAGAGAGGCTGGCGATATTCAAATCCAGGTCTCCAGACCCCTAGTTCAGGGCCCAGCAGCCTTCACGAGCACTGGACTAGGAGTCAGCCGACCTGGGTTTGGGTCTCTGCTTACTGATCTATTTAGATTCTAAGAATGAAGGGAAACCACATGTGATGGCTGGCTTCCTGGTGGCATCTGTATTACCATGCTTCACTGCTTCCATATATTCTCTAGTGCCAAATATGGATAATCTTTAAAACCTGTCCATGAGATAGATACGCATTGTAATCCCCATCCCGATTTCAGAAACAGTAAAACTAGAACTGCATGTTCTGCAACCCAGAAACTCCCAAGATTGTGGTCCTGACCGCAGGCGGGTGAAGAAGGAAGTTGGGCCCCGAGGATGTTATTTGACTCTCACTGTGAAGGAGAAAGCGCCCGGCCAAGTTTGGCCCCAACTGGACAGGCCGGACTTTATCAAGCGCTGGGGAAGGAGGGGGTGGGAGGTCGCTGATCAGGGCTCTCCCCAGGAACTGGAGTGGTTCCAATCTCAGGGACTCTCTGGGTGTGGGGTGGGGGCAGCGGCAGATCCGTCCCCTCCATATCCCCCCCCACTTCGCCTGGCTCGCCCGGTCCCGAGGCCTCCCAGGGCCGCAGTCCGGCGCCGCCCCCTCCGGCCACATAGCGTCCTGGCCGCCGCCGACGGCCTGTTCCAACCCGGGTCTCTCCGCGCTGTCCAGGAACCGGGCTCCCCAGCCTTCCGCGGCCCACGGAGTCCGCGGGCAGGTGCGGGCCCCCGAGGGCCAGGCCGCGCCCTTCGCCTCAGGCCCCCTTCTGTCTTCGGGTTCGCTGCCCGCCACCCGAAATGCCGGAGCACTCAGACCCCGAGACCCCGCGGGTTGGGCCAGGCGACCAGAAGCTCCAGGCCCGCCGCCAGGTGGGAGGCCGAAGGCTACCCGAGGGGGCGACTCGCCGCCGGAGAGTATCACAAATAGTTATGTCCAGGAGCCGCAGGCCTGGAAGGTGCTGGCGCTCCACGTCTGTTAGCGCGGCAGTGTCCCCATTACACAGGCGAGGACGCTGAGGTTCGGCGGCAGAGCTGGGCACCTGAACTCAAGCCCCGGGTTCCCCGGCCCAGGCCGGAGCGAGCTCACCCAACGCCCCGCCCAGCTGACACGCATCGCGCACACCCGGAGGTTCTCCCGCGGCGGCGCAGGGTGTGGGCTCCCGGGCCCCGCCCCAAGGTCGGGCTTCGACGCACACCCGGGTCCGCTCCCTCCCCGCGCGGTGCGGGCGGGCGCACGAAGCA